AGTTCGCCTCGATCGGTGGGCGCGACTCACTCGACGATTTAGAAGGGGCAGTACACACTCCGCCCTCGGATTCGAACAATATCGGCAGCAACGCCTCGACAGCGGCAGACCGCAACCGAGATGCTTCGCCACTACCAGCACCGAAACCTCAAAAGCCGATGACGCCGCTCGCGAGAGAGTCATTAGATGGGGAGACGATATTCGCTGTAGGGGATGAGGATAAATGGTCGGACGATGAGGATGATCGTGCAGGAGATACAGAAGAGCGGAAAAGGTTGACGGGAAAGGACGACTAAGTGTATAACATACGATGAGATATCTCGACTTCTGGTTTCTATGCGAAGGGTCTTTTCATCCCTGATTTACTCTATACCATGCATTGTCTGGAGCAGGGAGTCTTTGAAGCTTGCGACACAAGAAGCACTGCCTCCAGAGTACGTCTCATATTTGAATATTAGTCTTTGCAAAGTCATCGACAAAGCCCGTTCTGGCTCTGCAACTGCTCGACTGTGTAAAGGGTGAGTGATGCATTGATTGAATGGCGCATCCTAGAATTTCGCAAATACAAAGGCTGGCCGCTCCGCCTGGGACACCATGTCATCGCTTCCAGAAGCGCGTATTCGCAGCTTTCTACAACTCTCTGCGCCCTCTCTCCCTCAGACTCGCGATAGACAAAGTTTTCTCGTCCCGTTCTTGGTAAGTAGTTGCGAAGTGGGACGAAGGCCGTACTCGGCCATACTGGACTAGATGTCATGGCGTTTCCTCCTCGACGTAGTCCCCTCGCTTTCTTGCGAATGTATCTCCTTTCCTTTTGTTCTTTGTCTCTAGGCGTTTTCTCTTAGGCGATCGTTCGTGACTTCGAAATGCTTTCCTATGGTTGTTTCCAATCCTTCGGCACGTAAGCATATTGTTTATAGATTCAGCAATGATGGCCGGTTAATCGCCCCAGAACAAAAATCGATCTCCTATACTGCGCTCCGGCGCGGGTTTTCCTGTTCCGACCGGAGCGCTGAGCAGAGCGGCTCTCGGATTGGCATACGCCGGCTGTTCTTTTGGTTGGGATGAAGATTATATGGGCGGTGCTTTAACCTTGCGGCCCTGCAGTGTAATTAGACGTGGCCGCCGATCTGCTCGCAACAGGTACTCAACGACCACTGTCACGATCTCATGTCCGTTCACCATTGAAGCAACCACTGCACGCCCTGCGACGCCTTAAACCCTCTTTCCCTAATGGCGGCCCAGTGCCGGCTGCGGGCCCGCGCAACATCCCTCAATCTAGAATTTTGAATGGGAGCGGCCATGGGTCTACGCTTTGCGACTTTCGCCCGTACGGACCCGCTCCTTAAGATGCGTAGATCTTTCGACAGCCCTGCACAGATGTCATCGCATACTGAATTTGTGTGTCCAGCTCATTCCTGTTCCTCTCCCGTCAAAGTGCCGCTGTCGCTTAGGCGTTTTATCACGAGAAACGCCATGGGGAGAAAGCGCGAGCGTATCATGGTGGAAGACTTCTGAGCCAGAAACCAATCTGTATGGCGCCTTGTCATCCAGATTTACACATCAAGCTACCTACGAGCTTGGTTTTCAACAAGAAATAACGTCGCTTCACCAATGCAATTGGGACAACAGAGGCAAGCAACGGGCGCCGCGAACTGTCATGTTCGGCCCACTCACCATGCAAATCTTATGGCGCTTCTACGACGTGCCAAAGGAAAGGGGCAGCGGTGGAGGCTGGGGGCGTTGTTATGTGTTTCGTGGCGTTTGTCTTGCACTTTGTGAAATCTGCTCTGCGTTATTGATGGCCTGCAGACCGGAACATCGTGGAAAAGCAGAAAAGTCGATCTTCACACATTGGCATTGTTGAAGTCGGGGAATCTAATGATATTACACCCAGGACATAGCAAACCACAGGGATATGTACAAGAGTAGTCTGGTTTGTGATGATCGCTCGTGATAGTGTGTGTTAATCTAGCCTCTTCTCTTCTCAAGGGACAATTAGCAGGAAGAGGTCCAGGAACTCTGTTGATTACAGTAATTACGCGCGTCAGTGACTCTACCTTTCTAGCTGCAGACACCGCAGGTTTGGCAGAATGCAAGATAGCTATCAGATGCGCATCCGATTCTGTCAGGTTAGGGAGGATTGGTGACTCGCCTGTCCCCCTAGAAGTCGCTCCACGCCGACGGTCTCGCACGTTGCCATCGTGAAGCTGTAGCAATCCTACGCGAACCTCTTCTTCTAGGAACCTTATCAAAATTTTATAGTATAGACAGCGACCATCATCTGCGTTGTTCATCCAAGCTATACTGTCCGACATTGACAACTTACCGTCGACATATCGTGCATGCGAAGTATCGATGCATTGAGCGGAATTAGAACCAGATACATCAAGGCGTTATAGAACTGGTTTTGCCGTGTGGCAGAATTTTGAAGACATACAACGCACATGCAGAACTCATCAATGGTTGCTAGATGCCCATTTTCCACGGTGGAAGCGAGCAGACTCTCTACCAGAGAAGCGCAACTTGGCACAAGCCGGCCGTTTGATTGTACCTTGATAAACTGGCTTTGATCACCACTGAGCATCAATTGGTCGGTTAGCTCAGTTGGTTAGAGCGTGGTGCTAATAACCGATTTTCCGATCATTGCTGGTCCTAAACGAGTTGCAACGCCAAGGTCGCGGGTTCGACCCCCGTACTGACCATCTCTTTTGCCATCTTTTTGTCCCTGGACTGTCCAGACCCGTACGAAGCTCATTCATACTTCGTATAGCTGGGGGGGAGTTTGCCACTATCGAAAGAATGCCGTTCGTGAGCAGGCAAGAAGTTGCTGCTAGGATATGGAGGCTGTCAGCTAAGTGCTCGTATGATGTTACGCCCAATCAAGGCGCAGAGTCAGGTGAAGCCCCTTCACTATGTTTCGACCTTGCAACTCCCCTAATTTCCATCGTCAACATACACCCACCAACCGCAGCGCTCCTGCCTCCCGGGGGGCTTCTCTAGGGCCTTTGAAGGCTCCCCATTCGCTGTCTGCTGCGCTGAGTCCGGCTTCTTTGGTTTCCGCTGTGATCTTCTCCTCGGGGCCTGCTCTTCTTCCTGCTGCGACTCCGCCCCTTGCTGAGACTCCTCGTTCTCAACTTCTGAAGTTCCTGATGTCTCCAGCATTGGGCTCTCGAAGTTGACCACTGTCTCCTCTTTAAGCTCCTGGCTACCACGGTCACGGTTCCCCTCCTCAGCCTTGCGTAATCGTGCTTCTTCTTCAGCTTACCTCCTGAGCTCAGCCTCTTCCTCTCTATCTGCCACCCTTCTCGCACCTTCGTCCCGCCATCTCTGCGCCTGTTTCTCATGCCTCCCCCTGTTATCCTGCCCCAACCTTACTGCAATCTGAACCCTTAGATTCCAATAGGCCGTGACCAGATCAACTGCTGGATCGCTACGCGAGACTTCAACGCTCACTTCGTTGTGGTCTCCTCTGTCTCTATGCTCACGGTTGATCAGAGTCGCGATGTGGAAAGGTCCACCTCGGCCGGTAATAAGGTTTGCGACGATGTCCAGGTCCGTGTTCGGGTAGAGCCGCAAGATATGCACTGTTTCTGATTAGCTGTGACTAAGGTAACGATGGTAGGAAAACCCACCTCTGAACTCGCGCTGCTCTTCCTGCGAGAAGAAAGCGTCGGGCAAGAGACTGGCATATGGGACAATTATAACTTTGACGGTGATTGGGGAGAGGAGATAGAGACAAGAGAGGAAAAGGCAAAATTTGAAACACAAACCCAAGGAAGAGGTCTGTCAGGTGTATTGACAGGGGACAAGCACAGAAGACCTCCCGTGTCTTCTATGTCTAGGTCAGGTTCGTTCGAGCTCCTTCGCTTGAAGCTTTGGTCAGAAACCACCTCGCTGATGCTGCTTTGCTCTGGCGTTTTGGGGGAAAGGGTTCGAAACGAGACGCGAGCGCAAGGGATCAATTCTACTTCTCAAGCCGGAGCAACTCTGATCTTCGAATGGAATTAACAAAAGAAGAAAGAGGAAACAGCTGGTTAGTACTGCCGACGTTATCGGTCAATAGCTATTAGGTAGCTGACCGAGACCGACATGACGAACAACATTTGATACTGGCGACCCGTGACCGCCCATCCCAATCAGGTAATTTTAAAGTTCATCCTCGTACGTATAAATTGTCGAAACAAAGTTTCTACGTGGCTGCGCTTGCGGAATGGAACATCTCCTGATTGGATCTTGATAACGTAAGTTTATCCGAGCACGGTGCGGGCACGCTGGAAGATATCAGAAACGCTTGGGCCAGTCAGACATGGACATCCGTGCCTGCCAACCGCAGATTCAAGACACTTGGATAATAGCACGTAAACATACCCCATTACCCACCGTCCCTCTCCGTAACCTCAAAACACACAACCTTCTTCTTCCCCTTTCCTTCGCTCTCCTCTCCATCTTCAAGCACAACTCCGACATCCACCTTCTTCCCTCCACCTCCGTCACCGCTTTCCACCTTGCTTTCTCAGCCTCCCATCCTGCTTTCTCCGCCTCCCATCGCGCCATCTCTACTTCCAGCTCAGCGACCTACTCTTTCAGTCTAGACACCTCCATATTCCTCTCCGCCGCATGCTTCGCAGACCCAACGCCGGTCAGAACCTCGAAAAAGCCAGGCTTCGCGCGCGATTCTTTACGCTTCTTCTTGTACAGACCGAGGCTCATAGGTCCACGGCCACCGGCTGTCCACCACAGAAGGCCGGGCGCGTCGTCGTCTCCACCCCCACGGAGACATGGACGAGCGGCGTTGTTTGGTGGGCGGGCAACAGGGTCCAATGCCGGGGAGCGGTCTCGCGTGAACGCTTCGTCGATGCTCAAGCCTAGGAGCCGTAAGAGCCACTTCTCTGGTGCATACACCACTGACATCAGGCAATTTGTGGTGGCGTAGCTGCGTTGATCGTAAAACTCCATAGCTTATAGCACTTGCCAGTCTTCGCGCTCATGTTACTTGGTCTTTTCCAAAGGACTTTAAGGGCCTTCGCTGGGCAAGGCTATCCTCGTCACTTTGGTGCCCTGCTGGCTCGCATTGCAGTCACAGACACATGGCAGCTGTCCCGCACTGCCTGATTTGTGAATGGCAGCAGCTGCAACGATATCTGTTTTATCTGGCATGACAATGAGAAAGACGGGATGCTTCGAGTGGCGAGCGATGAGCGGCTGATGAGAAGCATCTTGGAAACCAGCAAGTGGTACCGGAGGTTTTGCGGTAAGAGATGCTCGTCTTTCGCAGCGTCTGCAATGACCTTCTCCAAGAGGTTTGGGCATGGCATGTCAGGGCGCCAACAGAA